TTTGCTTCGAAACCAGGAATATTCTTCGAAAGGATTGGAAAGAGTCAACTAGCGAAAACGGATTGGACTTTAATTGTCTATTATAATTTGCGACCTTACTGGAAGGATATGAGTACCTTTTCGATGGGTACAACAAAAATTGGACACTTGTGCAAGCAGTTTTCAGAAACAGAGGCATGTGCAAGCATGTATCAACACTTTAAACACATCGAGGAGGATCTTCAAGCGGAAAATATGCTTATAACAAAATCACGTCAGCAAAGAGCGCCGTTGGATATCGTTGGAAATATTGCCAGTAGTCTTTTCGGCGTATTAGACTCCACTTATGCTGATAAAATGGTGCAAACGATAACAAAGGTTAAGGCGAATGAGAAGCATTTGCTTACTTTGCTAAGAAATCAAACATCTTTGATTGACTCTACAATTAATGTCATTAAAAGGGATGAGATCTCGAATTCCAAACGGTTAAAATCGATAGAGAATTATATTGCAGAAACAAGTGGTACTGAAAGTAGATTTAATAAATTTTCATGGTACATAACACTTGCAACTCAACTATCTCTGTTAGCCTCCAGTTTGTAAAGAATGCAAACCGGAATCATAAACGTTTTAACTGATATTCGGCATAACACAATAAGTCCGATGTTGCTGTCACCAAGGCAATAAAAGGATCAGTTAGATCAGATACGAAACCACTTAAAGCCTGGACAGATGCTTCCAGTTTCTCCTGATAATATATTAATGGCATATCAGATGATGAAGGCTGAGGGAACCATCATAAAAGAGCATGTTATCATCAAGGTAAACTTTCCATTGGTATCTACTCAGATCTTGGATATCTACAGATTGACACCAATTCCATTTCTAGCCGAAGATGGAATCAGTATGTTTGAAATTAAAACCCCATACATCGCATTCAACAGTCATCGGGATGAATTCTTTGAAATGTCAGAGATTGATTTAAAGGCTTGTCAAGAGAAAGCAAAAGATGATTTTATATGCTACAACAAACAAGAAATGTTCTCTTCAGAAACTAGCTGTGAGATGCAGATGTTTCATAATAAAACAGATTCTTCTTGCAAATTAATAAAGGCAGAAAAACCGTTAGTCTGGCTAAGAACACATGCCAAAAATCACTGGATCTTTACAACAAGATCCACGCTAACATTATCTGCAGTTTGTTTGGACGGAACCTCCAATATAAATTTAAGAGGTTCAGGATTAATGGTTGCCAAACCTGGATGCACCATTCGAAATTCCTTAATGACAATTACAAGTCAAGACATATTGGAAACCACATTACATACAACGTATGCTCGCTTTGGAGAAGGAGAACTCACACAGAATTTACGATTTAATTCAACAAGATCTGCCTCTACAAGTTTGATGGAAGACTCAAACCTTAACTACAAGGAGTTGTATCAACGAGAAGCTCAACTCCTGCCTTCCAATAGTTTTAAATTACCACATAATCTTGAGACTATTGAACATTATCATATTGCGATCTATATTGCATTAGTTTTTATAATAATCATAATTATAATTCATTTTATGAAGCAATGGCGAAAACCTCGAAATACCGTTCAGCTGAATCAACTGCCGACGACCACACCTGTAAATAGAGACGGCTCCTCGATCCCGCCTTTCACAATCAACATAAACGATTGTTGAACATCAGTTCAACGGCCGGGAGTATGTACGATTTCGACTAAGCAGAAATTCGTTCGTTGCTGATAGCTATTTTGACCTAAATAAATAGATTGCTGATATCTTGGTCTGCGCACATCTGCATGTGATAAACGGGTCATAAACCATATGCATCCAGCCGACGGACGTGTCTTCACACCATTTGTCATAACCCTTGGGAAATTCTAACCCGACCATTTGGTAGATGTAATTGCTTATTTAGGCTATTTTCTTGTAAACTGATAATAAACCATGTTGTTGTTCCATCTCGCTGGGGATTATGTCTGTAAATGTTTCCCGCTTCCTGAAAAAAATCCGGGTATTTTGTCGGGTTATCGGGAATCTGTTCCCTTAGGGATCGTATCCATGGGCATGTCCTTGAGTCCTTTGTCCCATTCATCAGCTAACATGCTTCTTCCTGTATCGGTTGCCGTGAGAGGGCAACGGCTAATATGTTCAACTGTCCCTTCCTGTATATAATGTCAAAGTCGTATTGCTCGAGGACCCATCTCGCGATTCTGCCTGTCGGGCTCTCGATCGAATTAAGCCATTTGAGTGCCATGTGGTCCGTTATGACAGCGAACTTGAACTCGCTTTCCTCTCGATATTCACACAGCTGACGCTAACCGCTCTCCCGACAATTTTGACCACTTGCTAAAATTGGCAAATATTTAGATTTTATTCATTTCAATTCAACTTTTTGCTATTAAAGCCTATTACTGAATACGACGAAAACTGCTAGTTAAGCATAGGAGTAAGCGAGAGGACAATAGGTAGCTAACGCCTTTAGCCGCGGCCCAAAGAATAAAAATTTAATCTTTGGCTGTGTTTGTGCAGAAGCGGTGTGCCAATAACATATAAATGGAATAAAAACCCCAAAAACCAATAAAAAAAACTGCCTGTAGGAGTTGCAGCAATACAGCATGCCTCATGCCTCATGCCAACAGCATGAGCCAACAGGTCGGCTCAACATTTTAAACATTTATATCAAAATTGGCGCCAGTTAATTTGCTTGCTGTTTGTGAACCCAGCTGGTTTGCAGAATAATATTTTTCGACTAGTGAAACTCTTAGCCGAACTGAGTACTAGGCTTTAATATGGAAAAAGGTATGTAATTAACTACAAAATAAGTGTTTGTGACCTGTGATGTGCACGTAAGAGATATCATGTTTACTGACAAACTAAACTTTCGTAGACCAGAACTTTTGAGGTTCGACTGGGTTCGATATCAATGTTTTTTATAAAAATTAGTCAATGTTTTGCGCTGTGAAAATGTCCAACGTGAGCCGCGTTTTTCCGCATATAACCTTTAAATATTTTTTTAGCCTCATTGTCAGTGTCCAAGCTAGAGCTATTTTCAGTATGGATCATGGCTGTGCAGACATACGACTTTAACAATATTATAGACAGAAATATTTATATATCACTATGGACGGCAGTCCATGTAGTGACGAAGCACACCAGGAGAATGTGCGAAGGCGACTACTATATATACACGAAGAAATGAAAATCTACTGTGATGGTCCGATCATAATGAATGATACACCTATCGAAAGGTATTGCGAAAACTAACAGGATTGCATACCAAGACTCTAAGAAAATTAATTGGCTTGGGAGAGAGAGCGGTGAAAGTGAAAAAGTGAAAATTTCGAAATTTCGAGCTGTTGGGGCCGGTGGGGATAAATGCCCCTATTCCTTTGGAAAATACCAGTCGAATGAGGGGTCATTTGTCAAAATCCGACGCTCCGTTCAAAAGTTATAGCCAAAATAAGATTTTCTTCGTCTTCCCAAAATGAAAATTTAATTCTGTTTGTCAGTTTGTCCAAAACATGTTTTTTAAGTTTTGAAAATTTGATATGACGTTCATCACATCGATATGAAAAACTTTTGTTCTACCACTTTTGGAAAAACTCGCTAGTTTAGCGGGTAAACAGCTATAAATAGCTAAAATTCGGAAATCCGTAACTTATATACTACTAAAGCTACAGACTGCATCTGCTGCATCTCGTTTGAAAGGTATTTTTAAATGCTATAAACGCCTTCTATATGCAATTTGTGTAAATGTAATAATTAAAAAAATATGAACAAAAGACAATTTTTTAAAACTTTTTTTTTACCTTTTTTTTATTTTTCTCAAAAACGGCTCTAACGATTTTCTTTAAAACCTTAAACTGTATAGCCCTTGAGATTCCTTAAATTGTGGTATATAACACATTACTGTAAAAAGTCACGTTTAAAAGTTATTTTTATACGAAAATAGCCACTTTTGCCAGCTCGAACAATTAACGCTCCCTGAGTATTGAAATTTGTGGGAGGGTATCCGAACTGTATTTTAGGGTCATGGAATCAGTAAATTTGCACTTAAGAGTTCCATATATGAATCTTTTTTTCTACGACTTTTGAAAAAAGGCCCCTTTTTAGGGGAAAAAGCTAAAAATAGCTAAGTTTCGTTAGTTTGTAAAATCTACACTTTTAAAGGAAAAAAAAAAAAAAAAAAACTTTTTTTAAAAGGTGATTTTGAAATACTTAAACGCCTTTTTAACTTAATTTGTTTAAATACAATGGCTTACAAATTATGATTGACCAATTTAAATTTAAATGTATATTTTAGCTCCTATGAGAGCAAATGTAAACAAACAAAAACTTCTGATAACAAAAAAAAACCCCTCTTAACGAGAAAAAAAACTAGGGACGATCGCACCTTCAACATACAAAAGTTCTGATATCAACATTTGTGACGAAAAATTATTACACTCGTCATTAAATAGACTTTCTAATATTTTCTCATTCGGTTCTGTTGGCCGAGATTTTTCAAATTTAAAAAATTTAAATTTTCCCCCAGAAGTTAAAAAAAAAAAAAAAAAAATTAAGGTGAGTGAAGTTAAAAATTAAATTAATTCCAGAGTATTCCGGAGAGAATAATCCTGGGTCAGGAACGGCAATTTTGGGAAGTAGTGAAGGAAGACCAGCCACCAGGAAGAAGAAGATTTTTCTAGGAGAAAAATTGGCCACTCATTCCTGGGTGGCCACAGGTTTTTATTTTAAGTTAAAACATATATAAGTCAACATCATTATATCAATACACAAACCACTACATGAAAAACGGCGAACAAAAAAATTAATACATTTATTAAATTAACCCACTATGTAACCCAACCCAAATTAATTTAATTTAATTCATATTTAATCGGAACAATATTTATTTCCATTATTCATCATCTTACAACCTAAATACTCGCCCTATGATTAATAATTACTTGTTTATTTATTTATTTATTTAATTATTTATTTTTTATATATATCTGTGTTACATGTAAAAGTCCTTCGGTACCGTGGGTAGGTTATTCCAATGTTAGAATTTAAGAGGAATTTTTGAAAATACAATGTATTAGTGAAATGAAGTTGTCAGAGTAGACATTCGTGTTGGGGGATGGGATAAAGTAGGCGAGGTAGCACCCACAACTAAAAAATTTGGGAGATGTGTCCGGAGATGCATCCATGGTTGGGAGGGACTCCAAGGACTACAAATTTAGTAGTGTGGTCCAGTCTAGATGTTCCAAAATCCGTATTAAAAAAAAAAAAAAGAATTAGCCGTTGTCCAAGTTTAAAATTCCGTTTTGTTTTTTGTTTTGTCTGCTGCGTGTAATATTTTTTGGTTGTTCCCCGCCCTGGGAGAAACTTTGTTTAGCCGGCAAAGAACGCGCGAAAAGCAGGACATGACAAATGGCGCCCAACCTAAAAATAAAAGAAAATTAATGAAATGGAATAGAGAAAAGTAAAAAAAGTCAAAAGTAACGTAAAAACTAAACACTCACCAGGATAATTTGACAGTAGGAGAAGATCTCGGAACCCAGCTGTTTGGACCATGAGCAGGCCAAAAAGGTCAAACTCATCGTAGCCACAGTGGGGAATATTCCGGAAAGTCCTTGCTGCTGAGCATAGTCCTGGGTGAGAAAGTGAAGACCGACTGGAAGTGGACCCATGACCGAATAAACACGGGACATGCGAAGCCAGGCTAGAAGGTGCAGAGTGTCTGAAATTAGAATAAAAAAGTATCTTTTTAATGTGTTGTCTGAAGTAAAGTAAATTTGTAATAACTTATCTAAATCTGTTGTCTTTGCTTGAAATTGGTGTGGTCCATGTACACTGTGAGCAATGTGTGACATCGATGCCCAGCAATTGCGAAACTAGGCTGAAAAGAGAAAATTAACTTAAATTAATAGAATCTTTGAATTAAATGGGAATGTATTACATGTATACGGATTAGGAACTGAAGGAAAGGAGAGACAAGTTAGTGGGTAGACAAAATAGCTACGTCTCATCCCCCCAATATTAGAAAAATTCGAGAAGGAATATACAAATATAAAAAGGGAAATAGACGAATATCAATCGAAAATAGGTTAGGATATGCAAAATAGTGATAGGGATAGAATTCAAATCGGAAGAAAACTAAGGAGAAGTTTGGATTTCATTCGGAATAGGGGATCAGCCAGTATGACTCCACCAACAACGCGCTCGCAATCCAATAAAGAGGAGAGGTTGGAGAATATATCGGCACCCGAAGGCATGGAGTCGCTAAGGGAGCAGAATCCTGAAGGAATGGGCAGCGGAAGTCCGGGAGAAGCTAGTGGTCATCAGTCGGTAGGCGAAACTGGAACCATACCGAAGTCTCTGCCATCTGAAATAAAGTCAGGGGTCAATGCAGCACTGTTGCAAGCACATCAGACTTACCAGGTGGGAATGTCGGCAGAGTATGATGCGTTTAAACATCAGATGCAGCAGGATATGATGCAGTTCATGAAGGATATCAATGACTGCATGGCGGAGTGGCGCAGAGATTTCGTAAAGGAAAACGCAGTGTGGCAGGCAGCTACACAGGTTCGTCAGGCTCAACAACAACAGGTTGCACAGAGCCAAACACACACTTCGAGTATGCAGATACAGCCACCATCAGGCATAGCAGAGCAGCCGCTGGCGAATCCAATGCCACCATTCGATCCGAGGATGCTACAGCAACCTCCACCAAACATGTTGCCGGGGTTACGTCACCAGATGGGATTCCCGCCGCCATCATCTGGGCTGTTCTCCGAGAAGCAGGAACCGAATCGGCAGGCCGCGGAACCGAATCGTCAGGCCTCGGAAGGGTATAGACAAACCGCCTGGTCGACGGATCAGGAACAAAGAAGATGGAATGGGTCACACACGACACCGCCAGAATATCCTACTGGAAACGGTGGGACACAGCACAACGCCAATTCAGGACAAGATCCGCGACGAGCAAGCGGGACAGCAGGCGAGTCAGCTTTCAAAGTAGGTCAGCTGCGGAAGTGGGGGCTAAGTTTCGATGGAAGTCCCAGAAGTATGCCCGTGTCCGAATTTATATTCCGCCTAGAACATCTCCAAAGGTCGTACCAGGTGCCGTGGAAGGAGGTCCTAAGAGAATTTCACGTGTTAGTGGAAGGACAAGCCAAGGAATGGTACTGGATGTACGTGAGGTCGACAGAAAAGCAAGAATGGCCTTACCTGAGGTATGCACTACAGCAGCAGTTCCAGAGTCACCGATCCAACTTTGAGCGAGAGTATGAGCTGCGAGAACGGAAGCAGAAGCCAGGAGAATCCAACGAGGTGTACATCCAGACCATGCTAGCTCTCAGATCTCGATTAGAGATGCCGTTTTCCGACTTCGACCTGATAAAAGTGATAAAGATGAACATTAGGAATCAGATTTCGAAAATAATATACCCGATCTACATCACTAACATGGACCAACTTCGACACGAATGCCACGACGCGGAAAGAATCCTGGCGACTCGATGGACCAGGCAGCCAAGCCACCTCGAGGCTCACCGGGGATATAAGGATCGTCCGAGGGTAGATGAGCTTTGTCCGGAATCCGTCGGAGAAGAGAAAGGACCGGTGGAGCAAGAAGAAGTGGAGGCATTAGCTAGACACTGGGAGAATCACAGAGAGCGACAGCCGCTTACCTGCTGGAATTGTGGAACCGTGGGACATACATTCAACGCGTGTGAATCGGATGTATTGAAGGTGTTCTGTTTCAAATGCGGACTACCTGGTGTGAGGACTCCAAGATGTACGCGATGCCAAACGGGAAACGGTGGGAGGAGCTTGGGCAAGAACGAGGAACCACGCTCCAATCCGTTTGCAACAAACAAGTAAAGGCCTCGTCGAATTGCATGTTTAAGGATAAGGATAGCTGTAAGGAAAATAAAATTAATAGGATTCTGTTGAATGTAAATGAACCAGTACAGAGCATTAAATGGTCGAAACGTGAACCTATAGCAGTCCGAGAAGCAAATTACCAAGAGGTCAGGAACCGTATATTGGGAACACATAGCCCAGATCGACACATTTCTCCAAAAATTGCCAGAGCCCGTAGGAGAAGCCAACAGCGGAAAACGGAAAGAAGGATGATTTGCTCGGCCATCAGAGCTGCGGTGGAAGGAGACAACAGACCATTCGCACAGGTCAAGATAGAGGACCTAGAGATTGTGGGTCTCTTGGATTCCGGGGCATCAGTCAGCTTGCTCGGGGAAGGTTGCCTAGAAATAGTGGAAAGGTTAGGACTGAGATTAGAGAAGTCACAATCGATAATGAAATCAGCAGGAGGTACGCAGCATCGAGTAGTGGGAAAGATTCAACCCAACATCTCGTACAATGGGATAACACATCGATTGCCGATACTCCTTTGTCCTTCCTTGAGGCAAAAGTTATATCATGGATAGATTTTGGAGGAAATTCCAATTGGCACCAGAAGTAGTGGGTGTGGAATCTTTACATCAGGTGGAATCCGAATTCATGGCCAAAGGAGAACCTATAGAGGCCCATATCCTGTCCCCAGAGCAAACTGAGCAGCTGGAAGAAGCAAAAGGGCGTTTTCTGACATACGAAAGTCAAGGATTAGGACTCACCAAGGTGGAAGAACACTCGATCCAGTTAGTTGAAGGAGCAGTACCCGTCAAGGAGAGATTCTTTCCAGTGTCCCCGGCAAAACAACAACTGCTATTCACGGAAGTCGATGAAATGCTACGTCTAGGAGTCATCGAGCTGAGTGAAAGTCCCTGGAATAACCGAACGACGCTGGTACAGAAACCTGGAAAGAATAGGCTGTGTTTAGATGCAAGGAAACTGAACACACTGACAGTGAAGGATGCTTACCCCTTACAAAACATTGAGTCGATCTTAAGCCGGGTAGATGAGACGATTTTCATTAGCAGTATAGATCTGAAGCACGCTTTCTGGCAAGTGGAACTTGATGAAAAAAGTCGTCCATTAACTGCGTTCACAATACCCGGAAGGCCACTCTATCAGTTTCGACGGATGCCATTCGGCCTTTGTAATTCGGCTCAGAGGTTGTGTAGAGTAATGGATAAGGTAATCCCACAGCGTCTTCGCAGCCGTGTCTTTGTTTACTTGGATGACTTGCTGATGATATCCAAGACTTTCGAAGAACACTGCGTTTTGCTGAAAGAAGTGGCGGAGTGTTTGGATAAAGCTAATTTGACGATCGGCCTACATAAATCAAAGTTTGGTTTTAAATACTTGCGATATTTAGGATACATTATTGGTGATGGGGCCTTGCGAACAGATCCGAAGAAAGTTGAAGCGATTTTGAAGATAGAAGTACCCAAAAATACGCGACAACTACGCAGCTTCGTAGGAACCGCAGGATGGTATCGCAGGTGTATACAGAATTTCTCCGGTGTAAGTGCGCCGCTCACCGACTGCCTGAAAAACAAAGCCAAATTTACTTGGACGGAGGAAGCGACTACAGCATTTGAAACGCTAAAGAAAGCGCTTACCTGTGCAGAGCTAAGAGGAGCACAGCTCAATTACAGCGTGTCAGAAAAAGAGTGCCTCGCAGCAGTAAAAGCCGTGGAAAGATTCCGTCCGTATGTGGAGCTGATGCCGTTTACTATCGTAACCGACCATGCAAGCCTGAAATGGCTCATGACGCTCAAGGATCTGAACGGAAGACTGGCGCGGTGGTCATTAGCATTACAGGCTTTTGACTTTAACATCGAGCACCGGAAAGGGAAAGACAACATCGTGGCAGACATGTTGTCCCGACCGAATGAAGCCGCCGAAATAGAGTTCTTCGACTTTGAGACAACGGAATTTGAGAGTCCTGAATACCTGGAAAGAATACAATTAATTGAAGAGCAAGGAAAAGATAAGTTTCCGGACTTACGTGTGGAAGAAGGACTTCTTTTCAAAAAAACCCATTTTAACAGAGAAGAAAGCGACGAGTTTGAATGGAAACTATGGATTCCGGAAGCTCTGACGGAGACTCTAATCCAGCAAGCTCACTGCAGCGACATGGCCATGCACGGAGGAATGGGAAAGACATTAGCGAGACTCCAACAAATGTATTACTGGCCCAAAATGGTAGTTCAAGTCCGAGAATTTGTAGCAGCCTGTGAAAACTGCAAGGAAAACAAACACACAACGCAGATAAAACGGCCAATGATGGGAAAGGAAGTACAGACAGATCGACCCATTCAAAAGCTGTATCTGGACTTCCTAGGAAAATATCCGCGATCCCGCCGAGGAAATACAATGTTGTTCATCGCATTAGACCATTTAACCAAGTTTGTATGGCTAAAAGCAATGCCAAAAGCCACATCCACAGCTGTAATTCGATTCCTGCAAGAAGGCATATTCACCCAATTTGGAGTTCCAGAAACAATACACACAGACAACGGAAGACAGTTTATCTCCAAGGAATTTGAGAATATGTTGCAAGAATACGGGATTACGCACATGAAAACAGGGAGATACGCACCACAATCCAACGCTTCGGAAAGAGTAAACCAGTCGGTTTTGGCAGCAATTCGAGTGAACATCCAGGACGACCACACACGCTGGGATGAACACCTTTCGGACATACAAGCGTCGCTGAGGTCATCCGTCCATAAAAGCACCGGAACTTCTCCATACTTTGCCATGTTCGGACAGCATATGTTTACGAATGGGAAAGATTACTCGCTGGCTCGCAAGCTGAATGCTCTCAATGAAGCCGAGATAGCCCAATTGCCCAGATCCGAACGACAACAGCTGTACCGGGAGAAAATAAAGGAAAGGATACATCAGGCCTACGAGAAAGCAGCGAAGAACTACAATTTAAAGGCCCGAGAAATTCGATACTCACCGGGACAGGAAATCTACAAGCGGAACTTTGTGCTTAGTGACTTTAGCAAGAAT